ATGCCAGTGATAACCCATAATTCCTTAAATGCGGCTGCTCAGCCAATTGAATCTGACAGTTCCATAGCTGTTGAGGAGTCCGATTTGGATAAACGTCGGGAACCTGTTGTCAGCCTGTTGGGAGAAGACGTCGAGCCACCCCAGTCAATCGATCTGCAAGTTAGTTTATGGTTCCAACTGAGGGAAATAATTTTCACATTTTGCTTACAATAAACTACTTCCAACAGGTTTTGTCTTTATTGCATATCTTTCTGAAAATATTTACTTAACATTATTGTTTATAATGATGTCAGTTTTAGTCAGGTGGCAGTAGTCGTGGTCTCGCTGATCTTATGGACCTAATGAATCTGAGTGCGGTTGTTAACGGTGACGTGAACAGTGAAAAAATCCTGGGTGAGCCAAATTTAGGTCTTCTTTAAAACGCTTTTCATTTGCTTTATTTTTCTAGCTTGCGCATTTCTGATTAAAGCAAAGAAGTTTTTTTACTGTCAGTCTTTACTGTTCTGAATTTTTAAATTGGCGGATAATCTTTGAAAGCGTGAGTTTTAAGCACTTGTGAAGGGCTGGATTTCAGCAGCAGTTTGCCGCTTTCGTAAAAAACTTACTTAATTTTTTCACTTCTTTTCTGTAATTATTTATGACTCACAGAATTTTTTGTAGTAATTTCTCCTCATAATTTCGCAGGAATAGTTATATTTGCCTTGTTAAAGTATTTTAAATTTGAGTATATTGACTTTTTTTCCTGCCATCTGCAGTTTATTTATTGTATATATTTTTCTGCTGATTCAGGGTTAGAATCTGATGAGCGGAACAATGAAGTTCCTAGTAATCCTTCGACTTCTTCTGTCAATCCGGACCCGTTCGACATTTTTTCTTCTACGTAAGAGACCTTTTACATTAGTTTTTCTGCAAAATAATTTCTTTGTTAAACAGCATCTCAGCTTCAGGAAACCAGTCGAATTACCAAAACCTGAGGAACCTTCTACAGTGGCTATAAAATCAAACGGCATTGAGGGGATAATTTATGTAGAGAATGATTTCAATGGGTCTAGTCCTGCACTTCTTCGTCTTGTTGTTACAAATAACAATCCCGGAGCTTTGGAGAATTTTGTATTCCAAGCTGCAGTCACTAAGGTTTTTTCTCGTAGTAATTTTTTATGTTGTTTTTGAAATTTATACAACTTTCATAATCGTTGTGAGCAGTTAGGTGTTAAGCAGATTTATGGCATTGATTTTACCTGACTATTTACCAGTGATTTCCTTGAAGGTGCAAGATTCTAGGGGCTTATTTTGTATATTTCTCTTGAAGAATGAGATTTTTGCTCAATAAAATGTAATATTTCAAGGCTTATCAAATTGAGCTTTTACCCCCGTCAAGTAACACAGTTCCTGGCAATGGTCAAGGCTCAATAACACAAAGCATGAAGATCAAACGCATCTCTAATACTCAACCTGTAAGACTTTAAATCTTGTTTTATCATGCTTTTTTGAAAAATAAGTTTTTTTTTATTACTCTACTCAGCTGTATTAAATTTTCAGCTCAAGATGAGGTACAAAACGCTTTACTGCTTAAATGGTCAAAACCAGCTTATTGAAGGGTTGGTATCGAAGATTGAGGGTTTGCAGTAAAAATGTTACATTATACCTGATATTTTTTTTTTTTAGACTGAAACCACTTATTTTAAACCCTTGTTTTTCGTTTTTGAAGTCGTTTATTTCTTCATATTTGCTTCTGTTAATGTTTGTACACTATAACTTATTAAATCTTGTACATTTTTGACACGTTAGTTGAGATAAATATTTGTTAGTTTAAGTTGGTTGTGATGTTTCCTATTTTTATTAACTGTTTCTATTTTATTACCTCTCTACGAGTCAAAAAAACTACTAGTGATACGTTTGATTTGAGAAAAAAATTAATTTTTCTCTTATTCAGTAGGATTTCACGAGGTTAATAGGCTCTCATCAATCAGGAAACTTTCAAATCCTGTTCTGATTTAAATATTTAGTATACTGAGCTTCTTTGTTGGTCATAATGCAGTTTGTTTGTAATTAACTTTCACTTAGTATTCCTCACTGTGATGAAATGTTAGATTGGTTCGGTTGTGCAGGCTTAGCTGGATGAAAAGGTTGCTTCTACAAATTAATGCTTTCATATACTTTGTAAACTTCAATTTTGATATTTATATGTGATTTTTGGGATGTTCGGTTGCATTCGTTTTAATAGGATTAAATTTTTTTTTATCGTTGGTGCTGAGGAAATTGAAATGTCTGGTGTTTTTCGTTACCTTGTTATTTTTGTCGGCAGGTTCGTACTTTTGCTTCAGTGACAGAAAAAAAGAGGTTCCTTTGATTTGCTGTTTCCTTTCTTTTGCAACAGGTGTCTTCATTAACTTACTTCTCTTACTTTTATCAATCTTTTTGTTTCAATTTGTTGTTTAAAGGGAATGAATGGTATTGATAATGGTTCAATTAAAAATCTGGTATGTAATTGTTTTGTTGGATGGAGAAGAAACATTTTCTGCGAATTCGTAGCGGTGTTGCACGAAGGAGTATGGTTACTGTGTGATTTTATCAGGAATAAATGGACTGTGAAACTTGACTGTGAAAAGAAAACTGGACTGTGAAAAGAAAAGGATTCAGGTCAAGGGAACTTTTGGTTGACTGAGTAGTGTCGCAGGCCGGCTTGGTTTTTTTGGGGTGGTTGTCATTTGATGTGTTGGATAAGAAACGTTGTGTTGGTGTAGTTGCTGCTGGAAATGGTTTGTTTGTTTGTTGGTGAAGCGAGCTATTGCTTTTATCGTTGTGTAAGCTGGGCTTTTGGTTTAGTTTTACTGAGCAAGGAAGCCCTGGTTTTTAACTTTTGGTGTGGTGAGTGGGAGTTGCTGGTTGTTGCTTGGTTCAACTGTTTGTGTCTCGGAAATTCTTGTATGGATGGGAGTGCCTGTGCTGTAGTTCCTGCGATTGATCTTGTTGGCCCTTAATGGTTCTGAACTCGTTTAGTTGGCCTGTTTCTTCTGGAACCTCTATTTTGTTAGTTTGCTTTCTGTTTGAAGGTGTTCCATTAAGTTGATCAGGTGTTTTTGTTTGTTTGTTTGTTCTGTTTTATTTTAACTGCTCTCCATCAACAGTACCTTGACGCAAGCAGTTGTTGAAGACTTTGTTTAACATACAGCTGTGTTTGAACTACCAAACAAATAAACATTTGAAAGAAAGAAAAAGAAGGTGGTTTAGCAGTTCTGCCCTTCGTTTAAACCTCAGTTGTTTGGTAACGAAACTTGTTGTTGTAGCCCGCACAAATAGTAAATTTAGATGATACATTATGCTGAATTCATTTGTGGCGTAGAGGGAGGAGAAGGAAGGCAGGCACGGACTGAAAAATTGTCAAATTGTTTGTGTACAAGGTGTGTGGAGAATGTTCTTCTGTATATTTGATTAAATCTTTATTGCTGGTGACGAGAAGCGATTATCGGACCGCATTTGGCATTCATTTTATTTTTGAGGGCTAAGAAGTTTTGATTGTTGCTGAAAAATTGAATGCCTTCTGTAACACTTAATAGGGTTCTGTAGTTGTGTATCAAGATCAATGGATGCAATATTCACTCTCTGCTTGTATAGATTCGGTTTTTTTTCAAATGGGAAAATAATTTATGCCTGGATTTATTCTCATCGGAATGTGACAAGAGGATCAGAATTCATTTTGTTTTCTAGTTATTAATGTGAATCAAACTTTTGGGAAATACATTTATTTTGGGATGCTTATAGTTGCTTTACACCAGTTTTAATGGTTAAACAGCAAAAGGTAGAGCTTGATTTGGTTAGAACGGTGGGGAGAGCGCAGTTTTGCGACTCCTAGAATGAATTTTTATTCTGATGCTTCTTGGACATTCACTGAGCGAGTACGCTTTTTTTGCTCTTGCCGTAAGTTCCTAATTGATTTTTTTCTAATTGCAGATTCCTAGCAGTGAAATGCATTGCTGATCATGATAATTTCTGGAGAAGATGGTGCAAGTGTGGAAGAATATGGGTGGTTTGCACTTGGTGACAGTGTACCAAGAGAAAATAGGTTACCGTTTAAACGGCCAACCTTGCGTCAGATTTTTCGTTCCCTCCCTTTTCTGCGGAGATATTTTTTGTACTGGATAAAATTTCTGGGGAAAAAAGAAAAACTGTTTATCAATGTTTTTGAACCTCTCCGACACAAACCGAACTATGGTAATTGTGATTTTGTCATTTTCTAAACTGTACTGCTAAAAAAGTCCTTTCTTGACAATCTTTATTAGTTCTATGAACATTTTCAACTTGAAATTGATTTAGGTGGAAATAGTTTTTGCACAGTTTTGTAGTTTTTGCACAGTTTTGTAGTTTTTGCATTTAATAGTTTTTGCGAGCATGCAGGTGTGCCTTGTGGCAGTCTGGGTTCCGGTTCTATTGGCCGAGATTTTCGAGGGGGTTTCTGCAAATTTGGTCTCCGACCGGGTTTAATTGAGCACCAGGTGGACGTAATAAAAGCCAATCAGGTTTAATTTGTTTATTTGTTGTTTTTTCATTTGTTTGTTTTTCCTTTATGGCCAGAAAAACTTTTATTTCTTGTCCAGACTTCCGGCTGGAGAAATTTCAGAACAATCGTGCTGAGTTTACTTTATTTAATGAATGACGCAGGGCAAAATATTTCAGTTTATAATAACTGTTATGAAAAAGTCACCTGAATTTAAACTTTCCACCACTATTTATCAAAAGGTTTTATGCGCGGTCCCTAAAGGGTCTAGTAGTTCGGAACTGTATAGTTGGGATTTTTCTTTCCCGCCTCAGAACATCAGTTATAGGTATGCGAGTCTGGTCATTTAATTTTTCTGTATAGTCATTGAAAGTAGAGACAATTTTTTGTTATGTGTTGCTTAAGAGCAGTTTTGACTATTAAATATTTGGATGGAACTATTTTGTATGCGAATAAACGGTCTTCCAAGTAACGGTTGTTTTGTTGCTGGGCTATTTGAAGACACCTCACAATATGACTATAGGGGATTGTATCCACGTTCTTGGACCAGCTATGATATACCTGAACTTAAACTGATGGTCGTACTTCGGCAAATTTCCCCAGTTTTTCCTAATGATTATCGGGTAAGCTGCAATGGTTTTGATATGCTAAAAATATTGTGCGATGAATGGCTTTGCGGAATTTTGTCGTAATTTGTAGCTGGACCGTTAAAATGATTATCACATATTTTGTCTTTAGGAAACATC